GTACACATTGAAGTTTGAGAGTCTCAACCAAAGAAAATAAATAGAGAGAATGATCAAATCCTATTGTATTATTTTAACATTTTCAAAGGGGAATTTGTGGATAATTATACTATGGATAATAACATCCTCATTTTGAACATATCATCGAATGTTTTAGCTCTTTTACAATGAAAGCAGATCATGTTATCATCTGAATGAAGGATGGGAAGAAGAGTATTTCGTAAGCATATAAATTCCACAATGTTTTTAGTCATAGAACTATGCTCTGCACTAGGTTCTTTAAAATATGAGTCAATACAGCTTATTTAAGAAACATCGTTTTCAAATTGCTCAACCTTTTTCAGTCACAGCATTCAAAACACAATTTTAGCCCCAATGCATCCAAGAATCCCCAGCAAAATAAATAGTAAGGAATAAAGTAATATAATGTTTAGATCATACACATGAGGATGAACAAGTTCAATAAAACTAAAAGCCAATGCATATATGACAGTTAAGAATTAGACATAAACAACAAACTGACCTTGGGATGCAGATTAAACACTTGATGGTGAAATCCAAACACGATAGCACGTACTATAACAATAAAGAAATCAAATCAATTTCTGACAAAGAAAAACTGATAAACAAAACTCTTAATATATCAAAGACTCCAAATCATCACCTCCATTAACAATGAAATTCATAAGATGGAAAACCTTCTGCGTCGTCCAACCATATTCAGGCACTCTTAACTCGATTCTAATTAATTGTATCTGTACATCATAAACACTCATTTAACAGCCTCATAATTTCCGTTAAACAAATCACACCACAACATCATAGCAGAAGAATTTCACAATTTTGAAGACAGTTAGAAACAAAATTGAACTGCAATGTCAAGACCTAATAAAACAAAACGGGCTATGTACTTATTTAAAAATTATCTGCGATTACATAACAGTAAATATGAAATAATAATTGAGAGAAACGGTTGAAAAGAAGAAGAAAGAGAGAGATTGCAAAGAGAACCAGAGCAACAGAGGAAACAAGCGCGTAAGCAGCACAGAGGGTGTAGAAGATCCCGTCCTGCCACCCCGAAGAATCGTTGATCTCGTCCCACCAGTTGCCAACCAGAGCTCCAAACTCAACAGGCGTTAAGCTCAGTGGCATTTTCGTAAATCTTCCCATTCTATACAAACTTTCTCGAGAAGCTATTTTCTCGAGAAAGTCAAAATCCTTGCTCCAAACAAGTACCCACTAGCTTTGAGAAGCCGAGAAACGTGACAACACCTCAAAGACAAAGGAAAGAGAGAGAGATAGTGAGTATTTGCTATAACTCTCCACCAGACGGTCTTGCTCTCTCTGTCTCTCCCACCTAAGCTTCTACGAGATCAACGGATGTGGTTAGTTGTTATAGCTGTTACTCTTGTATTATTACACGCTCGCTTTTCTTATTGGTTGGTCATTTTTTTTACACGTGTTATTATGTTTATCTATTTGTTTATTAAGGGTCCTGAAAGATGTTTTCGACTTTTTTCAAAAGTATAATTTTTTTTTTTTTTCATAATATATTGCGGGAAATTTAACTTTGTAAAATAGGCGGCAAACAAATTATAACCAGCGGAACTTGATAACACGTTTAAAATTCCAATTTAAAAAAATGAGATATTTATAACCAATCATTATTTTTTATTTATTTCTAAAGAAGATCATATTTGAATTTTGACATACTGTATAAAACAAGATCAGTACCACCTGATTTCTGGGTCCACGAATTACCATTTCTTTGAAAGAAGTTTTGGTGAAGAGAAACTTAGGTTGACAGAAGCAAATAAATAACTAGAGAAATGTTTAAATATAAATTAGAGATTCGATTGGTGGGTCCAAAGTGTACAGAATATGGAGGCGGAGAGGGAGTACTAATTTAACAGGGAGTGAGGCGAAGTTTCGTGAGTACCAGCATCAGCTTGAGCCGGTTAGTCCTGGTCGGCGTGATTCGGTTTGGACTGTGGTTTTATCATGCACACGGCTATTTGTGCTAAACTAAATGCTTATGCATTAATTAACCTGTCATATTAAGGGAATATCGACATTTGTTGTTTCGTCTAAATTTGGTTGAAGCATGTACAAGAGACTGGGCCCTTTCACACCACCGACGGTGAGCTAAGTCAACGGATAATGTTTTATAGTTTTGTCACTCTCTTTGGATAAGCTTCAAATGTTCATAACAAGAGATAGCGAAAGTGATGAAATTATCATACTTCCTACTCTCAACACATTTCAATTTTTGAATGAAATTCTTATTTTCAACACATTTCAATTTAATTTGTTTGCATAATACATACTTGTTATATATAAGTTAATATACTACTACCCGTTAACAAAATTTAATTGTCTAAATTATTGAATCCACCATAATTTCAATGGAAAAGATGGCACGATCATGTCAAATTGAAAGGCTTCTGGGACATCAAGCTAAAATTAATATAACCAACATAAGAGTGAGGATTCTGTAAAATATAGAATTTTCTTCTTCTTAAATAAAGTGATTATAATTAAAAACATCATATATTAAATTAAGAGTAAACGACATTTTCCCACCCAAGGTTTCGCGAATCTACCTCCCGCCCCTGGTTTTATAAATTCCAGTTTCCCACCCTTAAAATGAACAGAAATCGTTTAATATGACAGTCGACGGGTAAAATGGTCATTTGAACAACATCAAATCCGAAATGAAAATAAATTTTTTTATAAATCTCCGCATCATAAATTTCTCCACAAGCACCCTCCCCATCTCAAATTTCTTTCACTTTCTCTCTTCTGACCTTCCTTTCTCTCTTCTCTCCTTCTCACCAAATCACTGTTACTCTTGACATCAATGCCAAATTGCCAATCACAAGAGCTAGAATAGGAACAAAACACTATCAACATTGGCCCAAATATCAATATCAATCAAAACAGTGACGATTTCCTAGCACAGACCCATAACTTCATCTCAATGAAACCATCAAACACATTAAAATGAGGTAATATAATGTTTCAAAGGAAGAACCATTTTTGGACAAACCAAGAATATTAACCATCAATATCAAAGCCCAAACAACACAAAATTCATATTTCTGAGAACCCACCTTAACAATCCAATCAACAGTCTCTTTTCGAGCCACCAAGTCCAAATCAGGCCGCCGCGATTTGGCCAAAATTCAACTGCGACGAGGCCCTCATGCGGCGACCGAAACCCACGCGAGGGCCAAGCAACCATGGAGAGAAGGAGAGAAGAAAGAAAGGAAAGAGTGAAGAAGAAAAAAGAAAGGAAGAAGAGAAGAAAGAAAGGAAAGAGGAGGAGAAAGGAAGGAGTTGACTGGAAAGAAATGAAGGTTCAATAGAGAGAGAAAAATTGAAAGAAAGATGTGAAGAAGAAGAGAGTGGAAAAAGAGACAAAAAAAAATATGAGGGGGAAAAGAAGATTTAACTTTAGTGGACTGATGGTTAAAAAGGTAATTTAATAATTTATTTTAAGAGCAGTTTGATAATATCATTTTCTATATTCCATTAGAGTTAAAAAATTAGTAACGTGTTGATATAAGGGTGGGAATCTGAAATTTAGGAAACCAGAGGTGGGGACTGGTCACTTCGCTTTACCTTGGGTGGGAACATGTTCTTTACTCTTAAATTAATTTATGAAATAATGATATATAAAAAACATGATTAAGTAACGTTCTACTCAATATAATGTCCCCTTAATATTATAATTTAAACTTGTAAGAAAGTATCAAAACTCCTTGATAGGTGGATATATAATACTTTTTAGAAACTATGGGGACCTTTTAACGCCCTTATTTCTCAAGGGCTTGGTGGCGGTTTGATACCATCCATTCCCTTATCTAAATTGTCATGTTAGTTAGAGTAATACTATATTAATAATTATTTCTCACAAATTTTTTTTCATAATCGTAATGTGTTTTTTCTTAATTTATTAGCTTGTAATTAATTAGTTGGATCCATTTTAGACCCATGTTGGATCTATTGTGAACTGACCAATTGCAAGTTATCACATCAAGATTGTGAGAGAGGTTGTTGATGTAGAATTATTCTAGTAGATTTAAGTGTTAAGATCTATATTTGTGTGAGTCTTTTTGTAAGATAAACTTTTAATTTTGAAGTAATTATAGATTAAATAATATATTTTAAGAAAATGTTTATCAATTATCTCTTTTCAAATACGAAAAACAAGGAGTAATTTTTAATAGATCTGATTGTCATTATGAACATTTAAAAAAATTGAAATAGTAAATATGAGATTTTATGATAATGTCTATTAGACTCAACTACTGAATGAATTGGATTAATGTTACTCCCCAAAACATTAGCTAAACTCAACAAGTATGCATATAAATACAAATTATATAAGAAAATATTTTTTATTATAAAAATAAGTACATTTTAGTAAAATATTGATATATTTAAAAATTACTACAAGCATTAAAAGTTTCAACAGGATCCGTGGCGCAATGGTAGCGCGTCTGACTCCAGATCAGAAGGTTGCGTGTTCGATTTACGTCGGGTTCAAGCCCTACAACTTGATTATTTTTTTTTTTTTTTTTTTTTTTATTATTTTTCTTTTTTTTTCTTATAGTCCAAACTGTGCACCAGTGAAAATCGGCAACTACTGTAACTCAATACTTATGCGGTAATCAAACGAAAAGGAAGAATTAATACATGAATTTAAGATTGAAACCGAAAAAATTGCAAAGGTTGGATTCCCACAATTTCAAATATGAGTGGAAATGAGTTAAAATTATGAAAATTGTATATGAGGGCCTTTTGGGGATCCTGAACGTGTTCACTCATACGGTCTAGGGTTTCAAAAGGTTATGAATTTAATAATTTTGTTTAACCCTTCCATTTTTGGCTAATTCTTTAATTCCCCTATTTTTTTTATTTTTCTGTTTTGTCAATTCACGTGTACAACCACCCTAGATCACGACCGTCTATTATCAAACAACGACCAAGGTTCAGATAACAATCACTTATTATTGAGACTGTACTCTCTTCACTTCTCCTCTAAACCCAAAAACCCTAAATCTCCATCTCTGATCATCAAACAGCAATGGCCTTATTCTCACGCCTCCGCACAAACCTCAGCCTTAACTCACTTAAACACCGCCACTTCTCGGCGTCCTCAATCCTCGCCTCTGGTGATTCGTCGCCGTTAACCAGCAAAGAAAAGACACGCGCCGCTCTCTCTCTCCTCAGATCAGAATCCAATCCCGAACGTATTCTCGACATCTGCCGCGCCGCCTCTCTCACTCCCGACTCTCATCTTGACCGCATCGCCTTATCAAATGCCATCTCCAAGCTATCCCAAGCCAATCACTTCAACGGCATTGCTCAGTTCCTTGAAGAACTCAAGGCCCGACCCGATTTGAGACGAAACGAACGTTTCATTTGTCACTCTATCGTCCTTTACGGCCAAGCGAACATGATGGACCACGCCGTCCGTACATTCAAGGAAATGGAAAACAACGGTTTTAGTCATTCCGTCAAGTCACTAAACGCGCTGATATTCGCCTGCATTTTGGCGAAGGATTATAAAGAAGTGAAACGGATATTCGTCGAGTTCCCGAAAATTTACAAAATCGAGCCGAATTTGGAGACTTATAACACTGTGATTAAGGCGTTTTGTGAGTCAGATGAGTCGAGTTCGGTGTATTCTGTGTTGGCGGAGATGGATAGGAAATCGGTGAAGCCAAATACGACGACGTTTGGGACTTGGTTAGCAGGATTTTATAAAGAGGAGAAGTATGAAGATGCTGAGAAAGTTTTGGAATTGATGGAGAAATACAAAATAAAGTCAGGGCTTAGTGTGCATAACATAAGGATTCAGAGTTTGTGCAAGAAGAAAAAATCTGTGGAAGCCAAAGCATTGTTAGATGGGATGTTATCGAGAAGAATGAAGCCGAATTCGGTAACTTATAAGCATTTGATTCATGGGTTTTGCAAGGAAGGGAATTTGGATGAAGCTAGGAGATTGTTTAAGAGCATGATTAACCGAGGGTTGAAACCGGATAGCGAATGCTATTTTACATTGGTGCATTTCTTGTGTCAAGGTGGGGATTATGAGACGGCATTGAAGGTATGTAAGGAGAGTATGGAGAAGGGTTGGGTGCCGAACTTCTCTACAATGAAGTTACTTGTGAATGGACTGGCGAGTGTTTCGAGAGTTGATGAAGCGAAGGAACTAATTGGGGCGGTGAAGGAGAAGTTCTCTAAGAATGGTGATATGTGGAATGAGGTTGAAGCGGGCTTGACACAGTAGAGAAATTAAGGTATGCAAGTTTGTTAGAAGACTATGGAGATTTTTTAATAATACAAGTTTCAGAATTTTGTATGAAAAATCTCATTTTTGTTTAATCTATTGGGTTATGGAAGTTTTATGTTTAACTGATGAGAGCCCATTGAAGGAGCCTTTTAATACATGTGGATTTATTGATTGTTAATTAACTGTGAAGGGATATGATTAGTTTCATTTTCCAGAATACTTGAACGGGATTTATATGACAATTTGGGTCAACAATTCAATTGCTACACCTCAACCAACCAATTGTGGAAATTATTTATTTAATTCTTAGTTATTTTTTTAATTATAAATATAAAAACAACTTCTATAAACTTATTTTCAAAATCCGTCATAGAATGGTAACTTAAGAAATGGTAGAAACTCCTTTAACCCAAACTTGGATCGTAAGTCCAACTATACAAAATTTGTCGTATAAATACAGGTAAAATGGAATTTTTTTTCATACATTAACAAAATTGTTTATGTAACCAATTCATGGTTGGTTAATCTCTATTCAATTTCCGTTTCCAGTAAATGCTATACAATTGGGTAACTCTTCGTAACAGTCCTTCCACAGCTTGAACAGATTAATATCTGCCCACTTTTGTTAATTCGTCCAATTGAATAGTTGTATCATTTGGGCAAGATAACATGAAATGGCAATGTTCTTGTTTCAGGTCACAGCTTGTCTGTAACATAATGGTCAAGGGTCTACGGATTGAGGAAATCCAAAACGAACTTCCCTTTGACCTCTTTGCATTTGCATGACAGCCATACAAATGTCTTTTTTGCATCAGCAACTCAGAAAAACTGGTACAATCATCAATCTCCAAGGCGACCAACCAGTCTTTCTTTAAGGTTTATGCCGTAAGATTCAAACTACAACTTTCTTGTGATGAGAGCTGATCTCTTTCTCATGTACTGTCCACCGTATGCTATAGTAGAGGCCACAGTAGTTGAAGCAACCAACAAGCTACACCACGTTCCAGGAAAAAAAAACCAGTCTTAAATTTTTCAAAAAGATAAACTGGGGCATTTCAAACTGGCGATGATTTTTGAATTACCTCAAAAATGTGATGTATGATTGAGTTTCTGGGGTTCCAAACTCAGGTTGCAGAAGGGCTGCAGCAATCAAAACCAACTGGAATACCGTATTAACCTGCCATTATTTGTTGTTAGAAGCATACAGGTTTCAACTTTCAACTAAATTAAGGCATGAAAACTTTCATATTTCTTCATCATATGAGAACAGGATTTACCAATTGCCTGTACGAGAGTCAGCTTAGCTCTATTCTCATCAAAATATATAACATTTCAAATCCCAATTTTTGCTTCTATTATTACATCAATAGGACTCAATTTCTAATATACATACATGAAATTATTAGGAATTTCATTTTAGAGAACTTTCAGAAGAAATAACCATCTCCTCTCAGCTTTCAGTCATTGGTAAAATATTTCTACATCCTCTTGTCATCTATGCATACATTGGTGAAGGATAAAAACTAACAAACAGGACTTTACTAACTTGAGTTGTCACCTAGACCAAATTATCAGACTCTACTATTACTATTTATAACAATCCTATATCTAAACAAGATTCAGAGAATATTGACATGAAGCTTACCTTGCTCAGAAAGAGAGGCTCAACCTTCTGGGGAGAGGTTCCATCAAGATTGATGAAATCCGACCAGCTTTTCCACTACAAGAACAAATTCGAAATAACTAGGACCTTTGGCTAAATAACACCAAAGTTTGTAATGTTTAAAACATAAAAAAGTGTCTTTAACCAAGTTTGAAGTTTAAAAATGTCACCTTCCATCCCAAACTACTAGCTCTTAGATAAACTGCCCCACCAACAAGGGCAACATCTCTCAATACAACGATTCCAACAAGTCCAGCTTTGCAACAGCAAAATTAAGCAGAATCAGTAACCCACAACAAACAAACAGTATATAGAACTATGTGCTGGTAAATTAAGTGTTTAATCAAGCCAAACTCTTCAACAACATTAGGGTAGGGGTTAATATATCATTCATTGACAAAAAAGTTAAAGAATAAGTTGTTCCAGACATTTATGATGCATCTTATATTACATGGCTTTAGGACCAGTATAGTTATATAATATGAAAAATTTAAGATACCAAGGCTAACATGGAGTTAAAAGCAGCTCTGGGCTACATTTTTTAAATAAGAACATCAATGCTAGAAACAAAAATTGCTGCTTAGAGAGATTGTAAACACAAAGCAGAAATGCAACTCTGGCTGAACATAGGCATTTACTTCTCTATGCCATACCATAAATAATTTACGAATGGTGCAAAAGAGAGGGGGACATATTTAAAATAAGGAGCTTCATATTTCAATTATTCATGTAGTTAATATACAGTCCATTTAGGAGAAAGACATTCTACTGCACATTCTAATTCCATTATTTTCCTTTCTAAGTTTTCTCCTATAACTGGTCTCCTATACACCAGCAAGTTTTTCAAATTAAAAGTTTCTCTTGCTAAAAATAGGGAAAAAGCTGAGACAACTTACGGTGCAGCAGATCCATATGTACCATTGCCAGAGCAACACACCCAATAAGGACCTGAATGCAAGACAAGAGATTAAATGTCGAGGAACACTTGTCTCCTCAAGAGGTTCACCTAACAACAAGTGAACTGAAACACTAAGCTTGGAAGAAAAAGTACCTTGTCAGCAAGGGGATCAAGGTAAGAACCAACAACTGAATTAATCTTCATTCTCCTAGCCATATATCCATCAAGCTACATGATGAAAGCCAAAAGAGAATCAAAATACCATTTCTAAAGAACCGTAATTTGCTTACTTAGATGATAAAACCTTTGTAGTGACATTACCCAGTCAGTCGCTCCAGAAATGGCCAAACACACAAATGCAGAAGAATACATTTCATTTGTGATCATCCTGGAAACAAAGTCGTTAGTCACCCTTCCATTCTAATGGTCTGAACCCAGCATTCATTTCAAAGAAAGAAAACAATTAAAAAAAAAAGTGGCAGTTCTAACAAACATCGACATGTCAAACACTAAGAATAGTAGCAAATGGTTTGAACATCTGCAAAAATAAAGATGACTACGCGGTTGCCACCCAAAACGGAAACTAAATGTTTACACCACTTTAAGGTCCACCATCTGAAAAACAATACAACAACCAGAATGCAACCATGCCAAACCCAAAACATGCTAAACATTGTGAATAGATTTAAAATATATAATATAGCAATTTGTTCACTGTCCACATAAACTTCGTAAGCTAAAAATTTTAACGGCATTATTGTATCCTATTATTAGTGTTTCTTATTATTCTCATTTCTCATCACATTTCTTTTTCTTCTGTTGTTCATCACAACTTTATGAACGTTCAATAAACAAGAAAATCACATTAAAGAAACCAAAATGTTATACCATCCAATGAAAGGTCCCGAAACCAAACGACTCATTGAGACCAAATTGGGCAAATTCACGAAGCTCTTCAATAATCCATGTCCGCCAACCTCATCCTCAGTTCGATTCAACACGTCCGACCCGAATTCCAACTGGGAGGGAAGTTTCGTACCGCCATGAATCAAGTCCAAATTCAAGGCCTGAACTTTCCTGAGAAACACGCCGTTTAGTGGAGTAGCGGATTGGGATAGCTTCCAGGGAGGAAATGAGAGGAAGAGAGGTCCCTGAAAGGGAGCGATCCAAGGGGATCGGTGAGAGAGAGGAGTGTATAAAGGAGGGTTTAAAAAGAGAGCGGTGGCTGTTGAGGTGGTGGTGAAGAAGGGGCGACTTTTAGAGTTTTTGGTGATTAGGGTTTTGAGGGATCTGAAGATCGCCATTGATCAAACATCAAAGTCTGCTTCACATTTCACAATTCATTTTGGAGGGGTTTAGGGAATACGTCGATGAGCTGCATACGTGTTTTCTGTCTAAGAGTTACACGTGGGAACTTCTCAAAACCTTTTAGAAAAGAGAGAAAATCATTTTTCCCCCCAAGGTTTTAGAAAGTTATATTCGAGCAACTATGTTAATTTTGATCTCTATGCCCCCCACAGTTTCTAAAAGGCATCAAATAAGGACCACAACCGTAACTCCGCTAAAGCTGCCGTTAATTATTTACGGGCCAATACCATTACACTCCTTGTAACTCGAAAAATTGACATATTGCGTCCCATAACTACAAAAACTACCAATAACAATTACTGTCATTAGATTTGCTATTAAAAGCCAAATTACCTAAGTTAATTAAATCGTCTTTTCACCTACAAATTTTTTTAATTAAAGAAAGTAGGAAAAAAACTAAGGTATTAATAAAAAATAAAGTGTAAAAGGAATTAAAAAAACCAAAATAAAAAATAAGAAGGTATCGTAGCTAGTGAGAAATCACAATTGGATCGCTAGCTACGATCTGGGATCACAATAGGATCATCGGCTAATATTAAGATCACTATCGAATCACCGGTTGTAATCTTAGATTGCACCAGCAAATCGTAGATCGTCGGTCTACATACAAAGATCGCGACCAATGATCTAAGACCGTCGGTTGTGACTTAGATCGCCTGACGACTTTTTTTTTTAAGTTCTTTCTTTTTCTATATACTTTGATTATTTTATTAATTTTTTTAATAGATAAATAGTTTTTTGAAAGGTTTTTTTTTTTTTTTAATTTCTTGCATTATTTTAATTTATTTTTGCAATTTTCATTTAATTTAAATATATTAGTTAATATGTATTCTTTGTAAAAAATTTATTTTATTCATGGGTTTTTTCATAAATTCCGTTAGGACTACTCCAAACAAAATTTCATTATTTTTTATATTTAAATAGTTTTTGAATAGATAGATTTTTAAAAGGATTTTTTTAATTTTACATTATTTTTTGATGGATACACACACCACACACATATATATTCTTTATAAAATTAGTTATTATGTTAAAGGGTTTTTTCTTATTTTTTTTGATAAATGATTGAAACAAATTAACCGTTTAGTTTAAGAAAATACCTCAACTGAGTCAACTTGGACTCAACTGGGACAGATAGAGTTATAACACCCAGGGGGTATTGAAGAGTTTTCAAAAATCTTAGGCTGAGGGGGATCCTTAGTTGTGAATTTTAGAACTATAAGGCGCAATTTTATTAAAAAAGCCATAGTTTCCTGGGCCGAATTGATTCTCTCTCCTTTAGAAGAACAAAAGTTTATATTATTTTAAAACATTATTTGAATAACCCAAAGTCTAGGATATCGTAAACTCCAAAACTTGAGAGCTTAAAAACAAAACCAACATTCTAAACCCTAGACAATTTTCGCAAATTAGCCGCCAGATTACAATTTTCGCAAATTACCTGCTATAATCAAAGTTTTTACAATTATGCCCTTGAAACTAAAGCTCTGAGCTCCCACCAGCTTCAAAAACTATGAGATACACCCCTTTCGTGAGGCCACAACCATACGATTTGTGGCTACGATCTGTATCTGTAGTTGTTGCCACAGATTGTAGTTGTGATCAATGTTCTGAAACCCGGACTGGACCGACCGTCCGATACGGTTTTGTACAAACTCTGTTCACTAAGATTGAAACCCGATTTTTTTATTTGAACTGTTTCTTACCGCTTTTGGACTAGCTGAATAGTGTCAGACCATCGGTCCAATTGGACTAGATGAAAATCCGGTCCAACAAATGTAAGTGTTTTAAAGGCAAAATCCATAGCTTTTTTGCTTCAGCCTTCGTTTCTTCAATCTTCATTTGATTTCACTCTTTTCGCTTCCAATCTAACTCGTTATCTTCTCTTCCACCTTCATTCTCTTCGTTCGATTTGAGCTTAGAAAGTGAAAGAAAGAAAGATGAAGGAGAAGATCTGAAGAGCAGAAGAAGAAAGAGAAGAGGAGGCGAGAAAGAGAAGAGTATATGGAAGAGTAAATAAGAAAGAGAATAGGACAAAAGAAAGAAGAGAAAGAGAAAGAAAAAAAAAAAGATGAAGGAGAAGATCTGAAGAAGTAGAAGAAGAAAGAGATGAGAAGTGAGAAAAGAGAAGAGAATATGGAAGAAGTAAAGAGAAAGAGAAGAGGACGGGGAACGAGAGAAAAAAAAAGATGAAGGGAAGATCGAAGATGCGGAAGAGTAGGTGTGAGAAAGAGAAGAGAATATGAAAGAAGTGAAAGAAAAAGAAGAAGACGGGGAAGAAAGAAATAAAAAAAAAAAGATGAAGGAGAAGAAGATATATATATATATATATCTTCTTGATTATTTTGGTAAACAACCTGGTCAAGTTGATTGGTTTCTACGCTTAGTTCTCATATTGAGTCGCCAAATGTTAAGGTGCAATCTCTGCACTACTATATAGGGAGCATGGATAGCGGGCAGAAACAGAACTGGTGGGTAGAACCAGAGCGGAACCAACATTGTGCGGGAGGTTCTGGTTCTAATTTTTTGGAATCGATACTATGCGGTTGGTTCCGATTCTTACATGTGCTAGAACCAAAACCAGAACAGTGGATGGGAATCGATGGTGGGTACCTGAGATGGAACCTGCTTGAATCAATGGGACTACTTGGAATGGAACCTGTTTGGAACTGAGGGCGGTACTCGGGATGGAACCTGCTTGGACCGAGGGTGGATACCTGAGATGGAACCTGTTGGAACCTGGACTGAAAAGATATTATAAAGAATGGGGGGTCTCATAATTTTACATTTAGGGATTAAGACACGTGTGGGTGACTGTGTGCTGTGGAGACCCATACTTGGTTGGTGTAGTTATATTAAAAATAAATATTATTATTTTTTTAAAATGTTTTTTTAAATATATAATATATATTAAGTTTGATAATTAATGTATAATGAAATTAGATCCAATTAAAATGTTTAAATGTTATTAAAAGATTTTTTTTTTTTTGAATAAAATAGTATATTTGTTGAATAATATTTAGTTATTTACTTCATTATAAGTTCTAACTTTTTGTATACCTATAGTATATTAGTAATTAATTAATTAATTGTATATGATAATTGATAAACATTATTACATTTTATTACTTAATTAAATGATTAGAAATTTAATTAATTATAACATTATTTATATATGTTTATGACAAGTGACAACTCATGACTCATGAGTCTGGTTATTAAGAAAGGTAATGTTTAATTAAAGATTTATAAGCAATAATGTTAAATTTACAACAAATCTTATAAGATTTGTGTAAAACTGATGTGCACAAATGAATGGAAAAGTCAATACAAAAAGTCAATTTCATTATATTCACTATTCATTTATTTTGTACCAGTGAGTTATACAAAACTTTATAAGATTTGTTTGTACATTTAACATTACTTATTCATAAAACATATTAATATATTTTTATTCTTTTATCACAAATTCATAATTAATGTTAATTTAACTTATAGCCAATTCAAAAACTTCATTTCCACTCTAGTAATTATAATATTATAAATTATTTTATCTATCATAAGATCATAAGTAATTAAATATAAATTGAAGTTCAATGAGTATCAAAGATAAATAATAGTCGTTAATTTATTAAAATACAAATACAGAACCATCTACTAATTGTGTACGACACTTTTTCTCGAAATAATTTAATTATTAGTAATTATATTTTATTTCTCTATTACAAAAAGATATTATATGTTAAAGTTTTGAGGGCATGTATTAAAACTTAAGATAATTAAAATAGATTAGATTAATTAAGTGTATAATTAGAATTAGATTAATTAAAAGTGTTTTATATTATTAAAAGAATTATTTTTGATAAAATAGTATATTTGATTGAATATATTTAGTTTTTTACTTCAATTAACAAGTTCTAAGTATATTATAATAACTTAGAAATTAATTATTATATATAATAAATTAATAACATTAGTACATATATTATTAATTAAATGATTAGAAATTTGATTAATTATAACTTATATTATAGTATGACAACTCATGTTCATGAGTCATGGTATATTAAAAAATCATAAAACAAACTTAGAGTTAGAGTCATACTAATTATTAATTAAAGATTTATAAATCATATTAATATTAATTTTAATTGTATTCATTTATCACAAATTCCCAATTAATGGTAATTTACTTATGGGCAAATTCAAAAACTCATTTTCACTATAGTAATTTAATCTTTGTATTTTTTGATAATAAAGTTCACTAAATTTTAATTCCCTTAAATTAATTCCATAACTATACTTTGATATAATCGTTTGTGTTTTAGTTTTAATTGAGAAATTTTGTATGAATTGTGACGAATTGATTGAATTCAAGTGTCGCTAAGAGATTAGAGGATTTGTGAGTCACATTAGACACAAATGAATGGGTAACGAAAAATTAAAAATTATTAAATGCAGATTTTCTTAATTTGTCAAGGGTGTATTTGTACAATTTTAAGGTGTGTTTGTAATTTTTTTAAACTAATAGCGAGTAATTGATTTTTTACAAGAACTTGCATTTCAAGTTTTAGTTTCAAGAATCAAAAAAGGGAACCGATCGATTCCGATTGCGGTTCCTTTTCCCAAGAGTTGATTGGTTTCGGTTTCAGTTCTGATTCTCTAAAAAATCATAGGATACTTAGAACCGCTGATCCTTACTACTACATGCTAACAAATTGTAACACACAAAACTTGAAAATAATTCCGAAATTTGTGGTGTCATCGCTTTATTAAACTTGCCGTCACCTTATTTTTTGTGCGTTAGTGTTGAGCCCGCAGCTTCCTAATAACAGGAAGCCTGTTAAAACATTGTATAACCTGCAAACTAATCTTATGGAGGAAATATTTCTCTTATTTTAAAAGATAAAATCACCTCCACTAAATGTACATCCTCCTATAAGTTGTTATATTCAGAGAAAAACTGGATAAAATCCTATTGGAGTTGGATTTGGTCACTCTTATCTTTTTAAATTCTATTTTTAGATAACATCATTTAAAACATTAAAAAACTAATTATTTTATTATTTTAAAGCTTGTTTTTAAAAAAACTATTCATGGAATGAAATAGTGCAGTTAGTTAAGAACAACTTAGCATAGTCTTTTGAAAACCAAACACAACTAATTTTAGAAAAACATACTCCGAATCAAATGCCTATCAACATTAAAATCAATCAAAACTAACACACTTACTGTCCAAACAAGCCGAACAATTTGTTCTTCTTTTTGTAACAGTTTCAGTTTTTTTTTTCCCATACTTTGATTCTTAATCTCTATAATGTTTCATGTTTGTACTTCAGTTTCAACAAGATTCTTCTGGTTATGAAAATAAGATTTATTTTGTTTAAAAAAGATGAACTTCTTTCAATGTTGTAGGGGAGATCAAAGTCCTTGTAGCAATGACAAAGATACAAGCACTTTTGCCTCCTTTGTCAATGCCCTCTCTCTCAAAACTGGTATTTTTTTTATATTTATATTCACAATATCTTCAACCCCATCTGGTTTTTCAATTCAATTATCAATGTGCAGATAGCGGCAAGCAGAGGAATATAAATGCAGCTATTCGAAAATTTGGGAAGTCGAAAAAGACACCTCATGTCTTCAGATATCATGAACTTGCTGCTGCAACTGACGACTTCCATCCTGATTATCTAGTGGGGGAAGGAGGATTCGGAAGCGTATACAAAGGATACATTGAGAGCCTTGATCAGGTCTCTCTCTCTCTCTCTCTCTCGAGAATCGATGTTCAGAAATGATTTTGTAGCCTAATGTTTTGTTTGATGTTATGCAGGTTGTGGCTGTAAAGCAACTAGATAGGAATGGAACTCAAGGAAGCCGGGAATTCTTTGCAGAAGTTGTGATGTTAAGTCTGGTTCATCACCCAAATCTTGTCAATCTGATTGGGTATTGTGTTGATGATGATCAAAGAATTCTTGTTTATGAATTCATGTCAAACGGATCTTTGGAAAATCACTTTCTTGGTATGCAAAAATTATTATCTTTTGGTAATAAATTTTATTAGACATTTAAGGCTTAAAAGACTGAAATGTGATTGTGCTGTTCAGATTTACCTCCTGATAAAGACCCTCTGGATTGGCCTACCAGGTTGAAGATAGCTGGAGGAGCTGCGAAAGGATTGGAATACTTACATGATATTGCTGATCCCCCAGTGATTTATCGTGATTTCAAAGCATCAAATATATTAGTAGATGAGGAATTCAATCCAAAACTCTCGGATTTTGGACTTGCTAAATTAGGTCCAACGGAAGGCAAGGACCATGTGTCTACAAGGGTGATGGGGACCTACGGTTACTGTGCTCCAGAATATGCATTGACAGGCAAGCTGTCTACAAAATCTGATGTTTACAGTTTTGGTGTTGTGCTCCTGGAGCTTATCACGGGTAGGTGTGCCATTGATTCAACAAGAGAAGCTGAAGAGCAGAACCTAATTGAGTGGGTAAGTTCGTTAGAAACAATTTATAAGACTTTCCATCCAGGACTACTTTACCTGGTATCAGTTGGACGTTCACATTACTCTTTTCTATTAGAAAAGCATGTGATTTTTGCAATCTGATAAGTTTTTTACATGTAAATTGAATTTTCATTTCTGTCTTGCAGGCAAAGCCATTGTTAAGGGACAAGCAGAGGTTTACATCATTGGCAGATCCATTACTTGAAGGAAATTGCCCTCCAAAAGGTCTTTATCAAGCTCTTGCAATTGCAGGAATGTGTCTCCAAGAAGATGATCACACTCGACCTTCTATGAGTGATGTTGTAACTGCTCTTGAGTATCTTGCAAATCCAATGATGGATGAGAAAAGTGCTGAAGATGATCAGATCACTGACAATGGCAACGAAAACCTCTAGCGTCAAGGGGTGAACGTAGGTTTGGCAAGTTACTAAAATCAGACTTAGAACTTAAAAATTGTTGTATGTAGATGAAAGCCAGCCCCTCCTCCAGATCCCCACAAGTAAATTACTTAGTTTTAAGTGCAAGTCTATCTGTAAATTACAGATCATTCATTTCGCTTTCAGTAAAAGCATTTTCATTAGTTTAGTGGTTCTGTGTAGACAATTTAAATGAAGTAGTATACAATTTTCTGGCTAATCTTCACAACCATTTTTTTTGTTCCAACTCAGAAAACGACGGAATTTCCCTTCTAATAACGAAAAACCTTTTACAGATCAAATATGTACGCATTCGTATTACAAACTTGTTCAGTAACTGATGATTTATAAGGTTCAATCCAGCTCCTCCTTGTCCGGACATATGTTGCAGAGCTGAATGAAAACATTATATGCATAACAATCTGCACACAAAAGCTGTAGAGGGTGGTTAAGGTTTTATCAGAAGCTGGAATTTTTAAGGAGTATTCTGGGAACTTGATTTCATGAAATATTTACCACAGACAACTCGGAAAGTTTATATGAATCGATGCTACCTCACTGAAACCACAGTGAAGATCATCACTGGTTGACTTGTGCGGTAGTAGAAGAATAAGCAACAACAACTTGAGCAGATAACTTAAACAACAAAAATCATGAGCATTTACTAGAGATCATGCTGATGCTCATCTCTAAGAAGACAATCTGGTAATAATAATGGTAGGATTGCAATCAAAATCCTGCAGTAACTATAAAGTTTGCGGCCTGAATAACAAACAGGCTCAGATTTAAAAAGCTATAAAAGCATGATTTACTTGAGTCTACAACAAGACCAACTAAATATGAACATCACTCTTGAGGATCATGTAATTGAAGCCAGGTTTAGTATTCAGCCGATTACTATCCGCAACTTCTACAGCAGAGCAAATGCTCGGTAGGAACCCACTGCTGCTACTCCTTCGCTTCTTTCTTTTCCAGCTCATTATCATGAACCAGAAACCGTGCCTTGAATGGCCAGGGTCAAGAATTTGTTCCTGAGTTTTCCTAAAACTTGTAGCACACCGCTCTAACTCAAGTTTACTGAAGTACTCGATTTCCCTTCTGACAAGGGATCCTACAGTGCCCCTTGTGCCTATAGCAACTGGTGCAGTAGCAGCCATTTTCTCAGAAAACTTTGTGTTTCTGGTGCAGACTTTATATTGCATTTTATAAAACTATAATGTATAAGTGATCTGATATAGGAGGCTTCTGGATGAAGAAAGTGGATGCCCCAGCTCATTATCTAGGTGGGCCAATTTCTCTTTGCCCTTTCTCTATAAAGCTACAATTCGATTGCTTTATTAAAAGTGGACAGCATGAATTTTTGCATGATTGAAGGCTAAACATATTGTCATCATATTATTCTTCTTCTGCTTTTAATTGTCATCAAATTATTCTTGCATTTGCAATCAAAGCATGCATGTTATCTGGGTAATTTATTTTTTTAACCCTCTAATTAGGGTTAAATTTGAACAATTTTATTATGATTACGGGGTATGGCCGAGGCCAGTTGGTCAGATGTTTTGAATTCTTTGTTCTAAAATTACAACATGTTGATGATGGCTTACTACTAATTTGTGTTAGGTTAAACTTTCTATATTACTTGGAAAAGAAACAGTGGGGGTTGTTTTCATTATCTTACTTTACAAATCAGTAAATTAATGCTTTTGTAAATTATTAAGTTGTGTCCTGGATGTTGGTTTCTCTCCTTTCCATTTGTCTAACTTTATTCTTTGTTTTTTAAAGTGAAATGATGCAATAGTTTGAATGGAAACTGCTTTAAGTGCATTCTGGGGGTTCACTTGATTAAGGTAGTGACAGAAATCATTTTTAAAGTTGAGGGGATTAGGATAGGATAACATTTGAAGATTTTATAAATCTAACAAGTGCTTATGATGGAACCATCCAAAAACTCTAGTTAATTGTGGCCCGGGGAAAGTTAAAAGTAGTCAAGCTTCATCATCCAGAATGCAAATCCCTCAAGAACAAAGATATAAAAACTATAAACTATATAACGCCATTTTCTGTTTTCAGACGGATTCAAATTCCTGGTTACATAAACTAAACCCATAACAATCCTACTATTGATTTGAATTGTTACCATACGATCGAATTGAATATATTCTAATACAACCATACTCTTGCAGAGGGAAACCGCAGTTAAAACCCAAATCCCTCTAAAAGCAAAAGGCATCCATTCAAAACTGCCTAGGGATGACCACATTTATACAGGATACAACCTGAAGACAAAATGAACCAAACTCTAATTTTCTTATTTTTCTGGCTGTTTTAACTTCAAACTTTCACAGTATGTAATCTAAATGAGCCTATTGACTTTTTCTGCCCATATTCCCCACATTTTCTTCTTTGTCAATACTCCCCATTTTGAAATTCCAATTAATGATTTAACTCTATACTTCAATGTCTTAAAGCTTTCTGCCATTAATTTCAAGGTCCTTCACTTCTAGCAGCTTGCCAACAATATATTATGTATCTATCAAACATCTATCAATATCCGCAAAAGAATTCAGAAAAGAAAATGGTGTAAGGGAATATTTATCAACAGGCTCTCACTGAAAATTAAGATCATCTATCAATACTTAGAAATGCTTCACATTAGGGCTTCAAACATAATATATTTGCACCAAAAGGTCATTAAAAGTTACACATATCTGGGAAATTAAATCTACATATATTATAATCGGAAAATGTGAGCTAATATACTCATATTCATGTTATCAATAACAAACAACAAATTTTTCTGTAAGCCTCAAAATTGTATGTCTCCTCTTATTTTTTGTATTATTCACACTCATCTGTATTCTTATTTCCTTTCTATTTTTCTAGATCTTTTTTTTTTTTGGTGTATGAAATTATTCATCGATCTACTGTATACCAGGAAGATGGCAAGTATAACTCTGCTTCCGATGTGAGGCAAGAGCATTTTGTAGAGCAACATCTACTCTCACACCCTCTCGAAACAGTGAATCATAAAAGTGACAGATGAACTTGGACAAATCCTCTTCATCATCATCCCAAAGACCCATCAACCGGTCTCCAGTCTTCTCAGGTTCACTATCTTCCCAGTCACTTATTGGACTAATAGGTTCAGCATCTTCATCCTCTGCCTCTTCCTCTCCAATCTCAAACCTTCCATTTTCCAGTGCACTGAAGTCTCCTGATTCAAGAGCTGATGTCATCGAGGTTTCCTGTGGTTCAGCTGAAGGACATATGATGGCTTTAGCACCAGAGTCTAGAAAGGCCTTAATTAAAGTCGGGGTAGGCCCATAAGTCCCTGTGCAAATTATGATCCTGTCCCTCCAAGCTCCAATCTAGAGAATTGCACAACACATATCAGCTACATTATTGGGGAGGAGGAAACGAGAATCAACATTAGCAGTGCTCATCACAAAAACGATTGAAAACTTCAAACAACTAGGGAACTGTTCTTTAAAGCATCAGTCATGGAAAGAAAACTGAGAACAGTTCATGATAGCTTTTCTCAATAGTGACTGTACGCTTCAAACAATATGAAAATATCCCAACCCCACAAGGGAAATTAGATTAACCAAGTTAACAATGATGCAGATAGATCAACACCACACAGGAGAACAAAAGAAGTTGAATAGTGATGAGATGTTAAACTTACAACCGTTTCTCATTTAAAAGCTTAAAGCTCAATAGACGTTAAAAGGGAAAGGAATATTTCACTAAAAATACATACCATCCAACGAACATCATCTGGTGTTAAGTGCATCGAAGGGACAGTCCTGCGGAACATATATGCAGCAATTTCTTGGTCATCTTCCATAACCTTCCCGAACATCACAACAGAACTATCAGTGATAACTTCTGATAGATGGCATAAGTAATAATCTGAAAGAGATAAAAAAGTAAAGGACGCATACTTGGGTTTGGCGTCCTATATAACGGTGGACTACATTGCCAACTTGGAAGTATGGTCTGCACCGAACCAAATCAGCAATAGTTGATATATTGGCAAGAAATGATGCAGCCTTTCTGCGGTTACTCTGCATCACTGATAACAAGCTTAGTTTAACGCTCTGCAAAAACTTGTCAGCATGTTCCCCAGGTTCGGCAACCACAAAAACATCATTCTGCCAACTAAATAAATAAGCATACAGTAAGTTAGGACTAGGAGTGTAACTACACCGACGTAAAAAAATAATAATTAATAAATAAACCAACAGAGGGTCATGTTGACCTTAATATTAAGCCAACTGAGTCATTTTGAAGGGCCAAATGTATAATGCCAACTTGTGGTAAATTTTGTAACTTCTCATGTAATGATCTGACATGTAAGGAGAGCTGCCTTTGGGCCTTGGGAGATAGAGGCGGTGATGAAAATGTCTTTCCGGATTGTAGTCCATCCAGGCTTAAAGGTGGAACCATATCTATCCGGCCAATCCTCTGTGGGCCAACATCAGGACTATATAAAAGTGGGCTCGACGGAAAAGTTCCAGTGATCAAAGGTGAGGTAAATGGTGTTGGAAATGTTGTTCCTGGCATTGTTTTCCACATTCCAGATGCCCCATGCATAAGAGATAACTTTATTCCATTACGTGCACAAAATGACTCAAGGGCTCTGGCATGGTGTCCAACTCTTCCTGAATCCGGACTATGCATAGCTTCAACAAGTAGTATGTTACGCCTCCAACCTAAAGATGGGCTCTTCTCATCTAGAAAAGAATGAAACCAAAAAGCAATTAGTGTTAAGCTAAACATTATCATAAACAAAAAGACAGTACAGAACGAGTAAAGAAAATATAAACAGTTCTACCTGCATTTGACACCTTTGCCCTGGGGAAATGCTGAGCTTTCAAATTCTCCGACCACTTCTCATCGTGTTGGAAGGGAATAAGCAGTCTCTCACAGACATCCTTGAAGGATTGTGAATTGTTTTGGACATAATCATCAACTGCAGTTTCCAACTTCAGCCAGACTGCTGGATCAGTCTCGTCCAGCTCCATATCACAGCGTTCATCAACTGCAGGGGCAAACCATATGGAATACTGACTGAGAACTATAACTATTTCACAAACTTAAAATGTCTATGAACAATGTCATTGAATAATAAAAGAAGACCATAAATGAAATAACAATAAATCCAAATGATTTAGGATTTATCTGAAGGTCAAATACAGGAGGTCTTCACATGGGACACTCATGTAAACTACTTTAATTTAAAAAAAAATAAAAAAATAAAAACAAATATAATACCTGGATTAAACCGAAAATACTGTATCTCAGGAAGCATCGGCAGCACTGTGCTTAACGCTTCCTCCACCCTATCCACAGAGCAGGCACTCTCAATCAATACCTGCCCAGTATCTAGATAACGCCAACCACCTCTCCGCACCTACAAAATATTTACAAACCAATAAAATATATGTCCCTGAGTTTTCCTAAAACTTGTAGCACACCGCTCTAACTCAAGTTTACTGAAGTACTCGATTTCCCTTCTGACAAGGGATCCTACAGTGCCCCTTGTGCCTATAGCAACTGGTGCAGTAGCAGCCATTTTCTCAGAAAACTTTGTGTTTCTGGTGCAGACTTTATATTGCATTTTATAAAACTATAATGTATAAGTGATCTGATGTAGGAGGCTTCTGGATGAAGAAAGTGGATGCCCCAGCTCATTATCTAGGTGGGCCAATTTCTCTTTGCCCTTTCTTTATAAAGCTACAATTCGATTGCTTTATTAAAAGTGGACAGCATGAATTCTTGCATGATTGAAGGCTAAACATATTGTCATCATATTATTCTTCTACTGCTTTCAATTGTCATCAAATTATTCTTGCATTTGCAATCAAAGCATGCATGTTATCTGGGTAATTTATTTTTTTAACCCTGTAATTAGGGTTAAATTTGAACAATTTTATTATGATTACGGGGTACGGCCGAGGCCAGTTGGTCAGATGTTTTGAATTCTTTGTTCTAAAATTACAACATGTTGATGATGGCTTACTACTAATTTATGTTAGGTTAAACTTTCTATATTACTTGGAAAAGAAACAGTGGGGGTTGTTTTCATTATCTTACTTTACAAATCACTAAATTAATGCTTTTGTAAACTATTACGTTGTGTCCTGGATGTTGGTTTCTCTCCTTTCCATTTGTCTAACTTTATTCTTTGTTTTTTAAAGTGAAATGATGCAATAGTTTGAATGGAAACTGCTTTAAGTGCATTCTGGGGGTTCACTTGATTAAGGTAGTGACAGAAATCATTTTTAAAGTTGAGGGGATTAGGATAGGATAACATTTGAAGATTTTATAAATCTAACAAGTGCTTATGATGGAACCATCCAAAAACTCTAGTTAATTGTGGCCCGGGGAAAGTTAAAAGTAGTCAAGCTTCATCATCCAGAATGCAAATCCCTCAAGAACAAAGATATAAAAACTATAAACTATATAACGCCATTTTCTGTTTTCAGACGAATTCAAATTCCTGGTTACATAAACTAAACCCATAACAATCCTACTATGGATTTGAATTGTTACCATACGATCGAATTGAATATATTCTAATACAACCATTCTCTTGCAGAGGGAAACAGCAGTTAAAACCCAAATCCCTCTAAAAGCAAAAGGCATCCATTCAAAACTGCCTAGGGATGACCACATTTATACAGGATACAACCTGAAGACAAAATGAACCAAACTCTAATTTTCTTATTTTTCTGGCTGTTTTAACTTCAAACTTTCACAGTATGTAATCTAAATGAGCCTATTGACTTTTTCTGCCCATATTCCCCACATTTTCTTCTTTGTCAATACTCCCCATTTTGAAATTCCAATTAATGATTTAACTCTATACTTCAATGTCTTAAAGCTTTCTGCCATTAATTTCAAGGTCTTTCACTTCTAGCAGCTTGCTAACAATATATTATGTATCTATCAAACATCTATCAATATCCGCAAAAGAATTCAGAAAAGAAAATGGTGTAAGGGAATATTTATCAACAGGCTCTCACTGAAAATTAAGATCATCTATCAATACTTAGAAATGCTTGACATTAGGGCTTCAAACATAATATATTTGCACCAAAAAGTCATTAAAAGTTACACATATCTGGGAAATTAAATCTACATATATTATAATCGGAAAATGTGAGCTAATATACTCATATTCATGTTATCAATAACAAACAACAAATTTTTCTGTAAGCCTCAAAATTGTATGTCTCCTCTTATTTTTTGTATTATTCACACTCATCTGTATTCTTATTTCCTTTCTATTTTTCTAGATCTTTTTTTTTTTTGGTGTATGAAATTATTCATCAATCTACTGTATACCAGGAAGATGGCAAGTATACCTCTGCTTCCGATGCGAGGCAAGAGCATTTTGTAGAGCAACATCTACTCTCATGCCCTCTCGAAACAGTGAGTCATAAAAGTGACAGATGAACTTGGACAAATCCTCTTCATCATCATCCCAAAGACCCATCAACCGGTCTCCAGTCTTCTCAGGTTCACTATCTTCCCAGTCACTTACTGGACTAATAGGTTCAGGATCTTCATCCTCTGCCTCTTCCTCTCCAATCTCAAACCTTCCATTTTCCAGTGCACTGAAGTCTCCTGATTCAAGAGCTGATGTCATCGAGGTTTCCTGTGGTTCAGCTGAAGGACATATGATGGCTTTGGCACCAGAGTCTAGAAAGGCCTTAATTAAAGTCGGGGTAGGCCCATAAGTCCCTGTGCAAATTATGATCCTGTCCCTCCAAGCTCCAATCTAGAGAATTGCACAACACATATCAGCTACATTATTGGGGAGGAGGAAACAAGAATCAACATTAGCAGTACTCATCACAACAACGATTGAAAACTTCAAACAACTAGGGAACTGTTCTTTAAAGCATCAGTCATGGAAAGAAAACTGAGAACAGTTCATGATAGCTTTTCTCAATAGTGACTGTACGCTTCAAACAATATGAAAATATCCCAACCCCACAAGGGAAATTAGATTAACCAAGTTAACAATGATGCAGATAGATCAACACCACACAGGAGAACAAAAGAAGTTGAATAGTGATGAGATGTTAAACTTACAACCGTTTCTCATTTAAAAGCTTAAAGCTCAATAGACGTTAAAAGGGAAAGGAATATTTCACTAAAAATACATACCATCCAACGAACATCATCTGGTGTTAAGTGCATCGAAGGGACAGTCCTGCGGAACATATATGCAGCAATTTCTTGGTCATCTTCCATAACCTTCCCGAACATCACAACAGAACTATCAGTGATAACTTCTGATAGATGGCATAAGTAATAATCTGAAAGAGATAAAAAAGTAAAGGACGCATACTTGGGTTTGGCGTCCTATATAACGGTGGACTACATTGCCAACTTGGAAGTATGGTCTGCACCGAACCAAATCAGCAATAGTTGATATATTGGCAAGAAATGATGCAGCCTTTCTGCGGTTACTCTGCATCACTGATAACAAGCTTAGTTTAACGCTCTGCAAAAACTTGTCAGCATGTTCCCCAGGTTCGGCAACCACAAAAACATCATTCTGCCAACTAAATAAATAAGCATACAGTAAGTTAGGACTAGGAGTGTAACTACACCGACGTAAAAAAATAATAATTAATAAATAAACCAACAGAGGGTCATGTTGACCTTAATATTAAGCCAACTGAGTCATTTTGAAGGGCCAAATGTATAATGCCAACTTGTGGTAAATTTTGTAACTTCTCATGTAATGATCTGACATGTAAGGAGAGCTGCCTTTGGGCCTTGGGAGATAGAGGCGGTGATGAAAATGTCTTTCCGGATTGTAGTCCATCCAGGCTTAAAGGTGGAACCATATCTATCCGGCCAATCCTCTGTGGGCCAACATCAGGACTATATAAAAGTGGGCTCGACGGAAAAGTTCCAGTGATCAAAGGTGAGGTAAATGGTGTTGGAAATGTTGTTCCTGGCATTGTTTTCCACATTCCAGATGCCCCATGCATAAGAGATAACTTTATTCCATTACGTGCACAAAATGACTCAAGGGCTCTGGCATGGTGTCCAACTCTTCCTGAATCCGGACTATGCATAGCTTCAACAAGTAGTATGTTACGCCTCCAACCTAAAGATGGGCTCTTCTCATCTAGAAAAGAATGAAACCAAAAAGCAATTAGTGTTAAGCTAAACATTATCATAAACAAAAAGACAGTACAGAACGAGTAAAGAAAATATAAACAGTTCTACCTGCATTTGACACCTTTGCCCTGGGGAAATGCTGAGCTTTCAAATTCTCCGACCACTTCTCATCGTGTTGGAAGGGAATAAGCAGTCTCTCACAGACATCCTTGAAGGATTGTGAATTGTTTTGGACATAATCATCAACTGCAGTTTCCAACTTCAGCCAGACTGCTGGATCAGTCTCGTCCAGCTCCATATCACAGCGTTCATCAACTGCAGGGGCAAACCATATGGAATACTGACTGAGAACTATAACTATTTCACAAACTTAAAATGTCTATGAACAATGTCATTGAATAATAAAAGAAGACCATAAATGAAATAACAATAAATCCAAATGATTTAGGATTTATCTGAAGGTCAAATACAGGAGGTCTTCACATGGGACACTCATGTAAACTACTTTAATTTAAAAAAAAATAAAAAAATAAAAACAAATATAATACCTGGATTAAACCGAAAATACTGTATCTCAGGAAGCATCGGCAGCACTGTGCTTAACGCTTCCTCCACCCTATCCACAGAGCAGGCACTCTCAATCAATACCTGCCCAGTATCTAGATAACGCCAACCACCTCTCCGCACCTACAAAATATTTACAAACCAATAAAATATAAATACAACTCCTATAAAGATTAAAAAAAAAAAAAAAATCCTAAATTATAAAATAGACTGAGTCTAAATATTTGTTTTCAACGATAACTAAGGAAATTAGAACCTCTAGGTTCCATAATGCAAATAGAAACATGGCATACTGACAGAAGAAGAAATTGCACATGACTAGTATTCAAGTGCATCAGAAGCTATTTCTAAGTAATTATTGTTGTCAAAAGATTCTCCAAAAGGGAAACCAACCACTGCAAATGCAGACTATATGAAGAAAAAACTTCAAAAGAGTTCAAAATTTAACTTTGTATAATCATCTGAATTTAATTCTTCATTATCATATAGACGTGCCTCAGAGGTGTGCAGAGGACCTCCCATAAGAAGTGTGATATGGTTGGAGTTCCAAGCTTGATGCTTCAGTCAAAGTTACAACAAGGTGTATTTGTAAATTTAACCAAAATACCATGACCACAGGGGAAAAGTTCAAAACTCAGGCTGTTTGTTTTGTCATTTGAACACTTAATAAAAGTGGATCTTTATTATTAAGACGTTTGTGGCTAATTAGTTGGTGACTTAAGACTTAGAATTAGACATACTTTAAGAAATGGAAAAAGCTAAAATTTTGGCTTTAAATTGAATAAAAAAAGTCTTATTACTTTGTCTTAAATAACTTCTCCACAAATATCCCTACTTTTATTTTTAAATTTCAATCATACCCTTTTAAACTCTAATGTTTATTAACCAAGTTTATTCACGTTATTATTTCACTTTCATTGTAATTGATTTTTTCTTGTTCACGTTATTATTTTATTACCTTTCATAACGTTATATTTATAATAATTTACTAAGTATTGTTATTTCTTATGTATATTTATTATTCTAATAATTTGAGAACTTTATATATTTCTTGTAAATTTTTTTTACATGATTTCTTAAGCTAAAAAGAATTTAAAACATTAATTATTTGCAAAATTTAAATATTTTTTATATTTTTTCAAATTCATGATTTGTAATACAAACTATAAATATATATCATATTTAACATTCATAAGGACATTTATGTAAAAATACTAGATTTCAGATGTTATAATTCATAAAAACAAACACTTAATACTTATAATCAGATATTTAAAAATTACAAACAAACATATCACTCAGTCTTATTCCTTCAAAGTCCTTCAGTGACCAGAGCTATTCAGTTATTAGACAAAGTAACAAATACCAACTATGACTTAAAGCCAGAATCTTATGATTAACTCTCAAAAAATAAAACAAATAAATGCAAGTAACTGTTTACCTTTGTCGGAACAGAGCCACACCCAATGGAAACTAAGCAATCTATTCTTGTGTCAGGCCATAGAAGTTGTGCTTCTCTTATGGCAAAAACAGTAGGATTGTTTGCTACTATTGCACCATCTTGCCAGCGATACACGTCTGCAAAAGTTGTTTTAGAATATAAATAAAATTAGAGCAATATCGTGGTAAAAATTCAAAATATTCTAGTTAAAGAGAAACAAGTAGGCATAACAATGGCTAAGCACTAAACTAAGATATTGGAGAACAAGAAGGGAATACCATCTGAAAAATCATCAAGATAATATGGTGCAGCAGAAGATGCTCTTATAGCTTGCCATATGTGATGCTTACAACTTCCAATAAAAGCGCTGCGTTTATAGCCAACTTGAGCACCGGTTGTTGGTGAAGCTAGCATAGTGATTCCAGAACTTTCTGAAATTGAAAAAGGCACTTCTGGTGTTCCAGCAGGGTACTGCATGTTGAGATTACAAAACCAGATTTGAAAATAAAAAAAAAAAATCCACCCAACTATTCTAAATATTTATGATGTTTAACACAAGCACTCTGCTTCTTTGCAATGGAACAAAGAATACAAGACAAATTTTGACAGTAAAGTAACTGTCCATATTAAACAAGAGAAGAAGTATTGCTATCAAACCTGATAATTGCGGAATACGAAAGGCTGGGCTGGCATCACACTCACCAAAGTTGATACAACAAATACTTTGGGAACGTTCTTCACAGCTGACTCTATCAACAAATCTCCATCCTCATCGGTACACATTTCCTTCAACAACCTCTCAAACTGATCTGCACTGTGCTGCAAGATGATATATGAGCGTCTAATTTCAAGGAATCTGATGTCTTATAGAGTAAATGGTATAAGTATTTGAACTGTAACTTCGTGTTATCAGCTAATGCTCCACTTTATCAAGAAAATTACAACAGATGGGAGACATCTATGAAGGTTCATAGACTGGAATAAGTGTAAGATCAACAATCACATTATCATACTTGTTCAGCGGATGCATAATATTTATAGCAGTAGCAACTTCACAGATCAAACATGAAAACAAAAGACATTCTTGATTTTTCTAATGGATATATTATTCTAAATTATTAAGCTTATGCATGCCTCTATCCACATGTGAGTGCACGGTAAAAATTTCAAAGAAAACTGGACAGCATCTGTAGTTGTATTGAAAAAGGAAAAGCAAAAATAAAAACAATAATCCATACTTTAGATCCATGTACAACAACTCTAAAACTCTGTGATGAACTTTTATAAAGTTGATCCAACTTTTCTCTCCAAGTTGCAGCTTCATTGTCCTTTGGAAAAGGTTCAGCGAAGACGAGTTTTCCTTAAGAACCACAATTACAGTAGGAGATAAGTGAATCAAGCCTCAAATAAAGAAATCTGAATACTAATTCTTGGTACACCATACCCACCAAGATTTTTGTATATTTCTTCACACTGGTCCAAGGTCATTAGCTTAATACCAAGAGCAACAGCCAACATGCCACCTGTTGATGTGCCACATATAAGGTCGAACAACTCATGTATCCGCTTTCCTGTTCCTTTCTCAATTTCTTTAAGCATCTGCACTGTTGCCAGACCTTTCATGCCACCTCCATCCATTGAAAGTATGCGCAATCCTTGTTTTGGAACTTGTCTCCCTCTTATGGCACGCCGCAAATTTTCATTTTCTCCTACAAAGGCACAAGAAGAATGGACTCAATTAGGTTAAATAACATCAATATAAAAAATTAAAAATAATAATAATAATAACACAAGAGAAAAAGATCCATAAAACATACCAAGAATTGCCAGAGCTCTTGCTGCAGCTCTGTTTACATGGGGTTCAGGCACAATGGTCAAACGCAATAAAAGATCCCGCAAACTTTCAGAAGTAACAAGAATATGCCGATTCTCCAAACAGAAGGCCAAATTTCCGACTGCTAACAAAGCTAACCTTTGTACCTAATGAATGGTAAACCTTTCAGCATTAGACGCTCCACACAAGAAAAGCAATCAATACAGTACAAGGAGGTGAAGAACTTGCCTCTGGGTTTTTGTGGGCACATAAAGATTTTAATGACTTCAAAACATCCTTGGTCAACATCTTCTGAGCTGCAGTATCAGATGCAAAAGCCAACTCGACCACAACATGCAGAACAGAAATAACTTCTTCTGGAGAAAAAGATTTGAGGACTGCTTCAATAGGTTTCATAATGTCACATTTCATCAACTGCATTGCGACAGAAATATCTCCGGCAAGAGATGATAGAGCAGAGCAGGCTTGTTCTACCTGCCAAAAGTCATTCTTAAGGAAGTGCCAAGCAGAAGAACAAACAAAAAGTTAAGGTTTTATCCATTATAGTAAGGATGAAAAACGTACAACATGACGGTTGTCACTACTTATCATACTGATAAGCTGCCGGACTGCATTTTCATCTTTGCCAACAACAACACGGTTTCCTTGGTCTTGCATTATCTTCCCCAGTGCAGATGCTAGCAAAGGATGATGACAAGAAGAGAAACGAAATATAAGAGCGAAGAAAGCACTAAGCTTGTGTCTAGATGCACCAAAATAAGAACTGTTCTCCATCTGCAATCAAATTAAAAATGTAAAATCCAAATTAATAATTATTGCTTCGTATAAAAGCATAATGCCAAATATTGCTAAAATATCTTCATGAACCACTACCTCGATTTGAACATTCACTGATCTTAGGTTTTCATCAGCCACAATTCTAATATTTGCAAGAGACAAGTGGCGAAGTTTATGTAGTGGCAAAATTTCAGGAAGGAATTCAAGAGGATTACCAAACAGCCTAAGAATTTGTAATTCTGCCATAGCCCTGCCATTCAACTGGAGAGCAACATTAGAAACAGAAAATTATAGACTTAAAAGCTTAATTGAACAGGAAGCAAACAAGGTATACACTTAACAAAAATGTAAATTGCTAATAAATGACCTGAAATCTAGAAGAGGCCGAACAAGCTTGTTGTGTTCTAATGACAACTCCACCAGTCTCACACACTCTCGCAGTTCCACTGCTCATGATTTCGAAACAGCGTCAATTAAGCAAAAAGTTGCAAAAAATATAAAGACACAACACATCCAGATCAGGAGATGAGTGTTGTCTGCGCTCTTGGAACTTATATAGTTAAACTAGTCATATGAAGACACAACTTAGATATATAAAACAATTCCATGATTACCAGGAACAGAAACAAGCATGTTGTTGTCAACAGTGAGAACTTTCAAACTCTTCAGCTCACCAAGCTCAGGTGGCAAAACCGATAGCTTATTGTTATCAAGGTACAGTTTCTCAAGAAGTGGCAAACGGGTCAATTCAACTGGTAATACCTGCCAATAAGCAAGCAACCAGTTTATTAAAATACTAACCATGCACCTACAGTCGAAGTAGGAAGAAAAGCCAAACACCCATTCTGAACAGCATCCACTTGATTTAGTCAGTAAAACTTAGTTTTACCATTCATCAATTTTACATATAACATAGTAATTTGGATGACTGATTAAGAACACTCAACGAAACTAGAAAACATGATTGGAATTTATAAAAGATATCAACAACATAAACGACACAGTGACCACAAGATTCAATTTGATATGTAAGAATTAAAAAAAAATCAATAGGTTCACATAGCAATTTTTCTATAATCTTCACATTAGTCTTGAAATCATCAAATACACAGAAGGATAAAAGAAAGGTTGAAATCCACTATTTGCCATGAACATTATATTTTCAAAAAAATGAGGGTTGTTAATAAAAAATAAAAAAAAATAAAACGAAGTACATTGTGAATATTTATGCAGCAAATATATCAGCTTCTCTGATAGTGAATGAATCAACACCTAACAATTAAACTAGGTTAATTGCGTAAAGATCGTACTTTCTTAATTCGCAAATGGTTAAAAAAAAAAAAAAGTAAATTTATTCCATTTTAATTTGACAGATCTTCTCAACTCCCAAAGGCCCCTAAAAATTAAAAACAACATAGCACATAAGCGTGAATCCAAATTCAGATGAAGACATAATTTTTTTTTTTCTTTTATAAGAGAGAAGAAACTGACCGACAAAACAACACCACAGATGCTAACAAGAGTGGCAGTCTTCCAATGGTCACCGCAGGCAGGGCCCACCCGATCAGCGGACCCACATGGCCAGGTCAGATCTCAAAAGCCGAGTCAAAACTCCGATACCGTCGCTCGTTGGCCTGACCCGGCCCCCTTGTCAAGATCACAGCTCTTAACGGCTCCCTCCTTTCACCACCTTCATTTCCACGCAACATTTGCCACGTCACCATCCTTCACCATTTCTGGCGCCAGTTGAACCACCAGAGTCTTGAGGTAGGGCAGTGCCACCATCACTTGCGACTGTAGCTTCAACGCCACCTGCTCCTCCTCCTCGCCACCTGTCCACTCGAGCTCGATATGAAAACCTAATTCCGGATCTCTCGCCGAATCATCTCCAGATCTTCGCTACCATAGTTTGTGTGAGTTTAAAGATCTCCAGCGGCCGCTTCCATCCCAAACCCCACGACATTGTGATCGGAAAGGTCAAATTATATCAAAATAGTGATCTGATGAGATGGTTGCAGTGCTAAATTCGGACGATCATGATGACGATGATTATGAATGATGATGGTGTAATAACTGCTTCATTATATTGTTAATGTATGTAAAAAAATTAATAAATTGAAAGAATTAAGCGAATCGAAAATGAGATTGGTTAGGGTTAGGGTTCCTTAAGTGTGATGAGATTTTAATGGCGGGAGGAAAACAAACTCAAGGCATTGTGTAATCTCCTGAGTCTCAATGCTTTGTTGTCAGCATTGTTTCCCAAATTGCAAATCGATGTCGTTTTGGATGACGAGAAGAATCTGCTTGGATTTTGTTTCTATTCGGTTTACTGTAATATAACTGTAATTTGATATTGTCAATGTAATGTACAGTACAATCACTATAATATGATTCACTAATATTATACATGCAAAGAAAACTTACTAAAAATTCTACACAAAATTATCGACAGAAAATAAATTAAAAAATAAATATAAAAAGTAAATATATTCATTCATTTTTTACTATATCATTTTATATATAAATTATTATAAAATTTATTTATATATGTAGTATTATTCTTAACTTATCATCCCTCCAATTTTATTGTATTTGGTTAAAGTTAAAAGTTTACATATCTTGCCAAATAACAAAAATAGATATTTTTATATAATAATCATTTTATAATTATTTCATTATGTATTAAAATAAGAATGTAAATCTCTTTTTAGAAAATGATCTGGTGTGTTTGTTTCACTATTTCAAATCTTATCCTATCCAGTCCTATTCAAAATATATTTTGTTTCAATATTCCTAAAATCTAATCATATTCTATTTAACTCAAAATACTTAGATTTTTTAACCTCATAAGTTTGTTAATTTAACTAAATACCCCCAATAATAAAAGTTTATAAATTAACAAAAACACCCTCATCCACCCACATATTCCCAATAACAGGCCACTACCGCTGGAAGGTGGTCGAAATCTATCGAAATGGCGCACGACCAACTAGATGTGGCAGATCGTGATCTGATCAGGCATTTTTTGGCCAGATCCACCATGGATCTGATCGGAAAAGGTCAGATCTACGATCAAATATTTGACAGTTGACGACCAGATCGTTAATCATAGATTTGATCGAAAAAGACCAGATTGATGTACTACCGATCGTACACCATTCTGATAACTTCCAACCACTGTCCGATGGTGGTGGCCAATTGTCGACATTTAATGGGTAGGTGGAGATATTTATGTTAATTTTGAAATTTTTATTGTAATGAATATTTACCTAAATTAACAAATGTAAGAAATTAAAAAATAATTTAAGTATTTTCAGAAAATATTTTCTAAAAATTTACTAAACACATTTTTAAATTCAACTCTTATTTTTGTAATAACAATCAAACTCAACTTTTTTTTAAAATTATATTTTTAATACACCTGAAATTGATTAATGTAATCTCATTAACAATGGTCAATGATGACACCACTGAACATCTTCGTAAATATTGAGAGAAAATAAATGNAAGGCATTGTGTAATCTCCTGAGTCTCAATGCTTTGTTGTCGGGATTGTTTCCCAAATTGCAAATCGATGTCGTTTTGGATGACGAGAAGAATCTGCTCGGATTTTGTTTCTATTCGGTTTATTGTAATATAGTTGTAATTTGATATTGTAAATGTAATGTACAATATGATTCACTAATATTATACGCACAAACAAAACTTACAAAAAAATTCTATACAAAATGATTGACAGAAAATAAATGAAAAAATAATACAAAAAGGAAAACTCTTATATATACTATTTTATTCATTTTTTACTACATTATTTCATATATAAATTATTATAAAATTTAGTTGTATGTATACGAGTAATACTACACACACATCATTTTCATACAATATTTCTCACACAACATTATGTGGCAAAATATGATTGGCTAATTTAAAGTTAAAATTAAACTTTCATCCAATCATATCTTATCACATAATATTGTATGAGAAATATTGTATGGGAATGATGTATGTGTAATAATATTTTTTTATATAATAATCATTTTATAATTATTTCATTATGTTTAATTAAAATAAGAATGTAAATCTTTTTTAAGAAAATGACCGGGTGTGTTTGTTTCACTATTTCAAATCTTATTCTATCCAGTCATATTCAAAATACATTTTGTTTTAATATTCTTAAAATCCAATCATATTCTATTCAACTCAAAATACTTAGATTTTTTTAACCCTATAAGTTTGTAAATTTAACTAAATACCCCCAACAATAAAAAGTTTATAAATTAACAAAAACACTCTCACCCACCCACATATTCCCAACAACCTGCCACTACCGCTGGAAGGTGGCCAGAATCTATCGGAATGACGCACGACCGGTTAAATGTGGCTGATCGTGGTCCGATCTGACATTTTCTAGTCAGATCTATCATGGATCTGATCGGAAAATGTCAGATCTACGACCAAAGATCTGACAGTTGACGATCAGTTCGTTAATCGTAGATTTGTTCAGAAAATACCAGATTGATGCACCACCGACCAAATCCAACTGATCATACGTTATTCTGACAACTTCTGACCACTATCCGATGGTGGTGGCCAACTGTCGACATTTAATGGGTAGATAGAGATATTTTTGTTAATTTTGAAATTTTTATTATAATGGATATTTACCTAAATTAACAAATGTAAGAAATTAAAAAATAATCTAAGTATTTTCAGAAAATATTTTTCAAAAGTTTACTGAACTCATTTTTAAATTCAACCCTTCTTTTTTTAATAACAATCAAACTCAATTTTTTTTTTTTTAAATTCTATTCTTAATACACCCGAAATTTATTATTGTAATCTCATTGACAACGGTCAATGATGACACCACTGACATCGTTGTAATTATCGAGAGAAAATCAATGCTGTTAATATTAATTGATTATATATATATATAATTGTGAGGTTAGTCTTCTGAGTGAATTAGAGTGACCTTATACATGAGAGTTTATGGTAACGGTTACGAAAGTAAACTGTCGTAACGATTTTAAGAGATTTTTAATAACGACTTTTAAAACACTCAACCTATATTTAAAAGTTTATTTTCTAATGATTCTAATAGATTTTTAAAATGATAAATTTACATATATACTCATAAAAGTAGTCAAACTCTAACTAGTACTTAGGAGTTTTATTTTTTCATTTACAAAGTAAGAGTTCTTTACTTATTTTTTATTTATTACTATTTTATAACTANTATAGAGAGAGAGAGAGAGAGAGAGAGAGAGAGAGAGAGAGAGAGAGAGAGAGAATTGTGAGGTTATTCTTATGAGTTAATTATAGTGACTTTCTTAGGGTATGATTGGAAGTTTTTTTTTCATTGATTTTGGAGAGTATTTAATTAGACTGGTTTTGAGGTGTTTAAAAACCCTTATTTGCCAGATTTTTAATGGACTGGTTTAAAAACTCTCCAAAACCAGTATAGTGTATTTTTGAAGGGTTTATAAAACACCCCAAATCGGAGTGTTTTGGTTGGTTCAAAAATTTTATCCTAAAAAAACTCATTTCCACTCCCTTTGCTGCACACAACACTCTCATTGCTGTTGACTTTTCTGAAGCACACAAATCTCTTGCTGCTGCACACGAAGTGAGTAAATGGTTTTAATTTGTGAGTGAATGGCTTTAAAAGTATTATTAGAAAAACCCCTTCTTATGGGCTTTATCACTGGGACGGTTGAGACTGAGCTATCTCTCTTGAGCGTGAAGGAAATTAACCCAGACAGATATGAATGAGTAATACAGCCTTTAATCTTATCATTCCAAAAACAGTTCAGCTGGGCAATGTTGAACCAGCTTTTTTGGCCATATGGAGTCAAGTTTGACAAACTGCAAAGTACTATAGTACTCCATTCTAAAATTTTATTGCAACTTTGGCTTTCTGTGAAGTACAGAATTTTGAACTACAAATGCTACTGTATGATCCATAACACACACCCATGAAAAAGAAAACTAGATGCGTGGTGAATTTGACAACTGTGCCAATTACATAAATATTACCAGAGCAATTGTAAGTAAAATGCGTGGTGAATTTGAGAGTTAACTCCGCCGTTCTTATGATGGTAATGGAAATCAACACAGCAAACTTCTATCATTAAGAGCTTCCTTACAAATCTTAATAGAAAAAAACAAAAATATATTCCATCAAACCAAATACAACTGCAAACTAAAACTAATGACCTCCAATAACGGAATTTGTTGAAGCAATCATAACTGTCAGAGAGAGCCTCTTGCTTGATTAGAGAGAAAAAAAATAAAAACAAATAATGTAGGCATTATCTATATTTATCAAAATTAATTAAGCAAAAGAGAGAGGTTTTAACTTTATAGGCATTTATGTAAATTTATCATTTAAAAAAACTGTCAGAACCGTTGGAAAATAAATTTCCAAGCATAGATTGAGTGATTTAAAAACCGCTATTGAAAACCTCTCAAAACCGCTACGATGGTTTACCCTCAAAATCGTTACGATAGTTTACCCTCATAATCACTATCATAAAACTCCCAAACAAACACAGAGTCTACTTGGGAGTTTTATAATAACAGTTATGAGAGTAAACCACTGTAACGGTTTTGAGAGTAAATCATCGTAACAGTTTTGAAGGGTTTTTAGTAACGATTTTTAAAACACTCAACCTATGCTTGAAAGTTTATTTTCCAACGGTTCTGACAGTTTTTTAAAGTGATAAATTTACATATATGCTTATAAAAATAGCCCAACTCTAATTAATACTTAGGAGTTTTGTTTTTTCATTTATAAGGTAAGAGTTCTTTACTTGTTTTTTTATTTATTAGTATTTTATAACTTCAAATGTGATAAAATCTCTTTATTATTTTTCGTCATTCTTTGCGAGACCTAGAATAATTGAAAAATGGTAGCTCCACTTCTTCAAAAAAAATCTAGAAATGAGATTTTAATAATTTTTTTTTTTTTATAATTGTTTAAAATTATTTTATATTTAATATGGTTGGAAAAACACATAATATGGTTAATTTGTTTTTTTTTTTTTAATATAATTAGGATATTTTTATAGTGGATAGGGTATTTGTAGAATAAAATTTTAAAACCAACCAAAACACTCCGATTTGAAGTGTTTTATAAACCTCTCAAAAATATACTACATTGGTTTTGAGGGGTTTTTGTGCCA